CCACAGTGCAAACTGGGGAGGGGGGAGTTTTTCCCCACCTCCTTTGGGGGTGAAATGAGTCGCCATCAGCCAGGACTGCGGTTCCTTCCACCTCACTTCCACCCGGGTTGGGGGGACCCTCCAGGGCCCCTTGGTCCCCAGAAGATCCATCCCTGCCTGTACGCACCAAGAGGCAAAGACGAGGCGTGCTATCTGGGATTTGATGCTGAGAAATATCCGCCCCCCCAGGCTGAGGTGCCCTTTTTCTCCAAGCTGGAGCCCGGATCTGGTTCCTGCAGCCCTGGGAGTGGACCTGGTCACCGCTTCGGCGCCTCGCTGCCGGCGTATCTGTCCATCAGACCAGCAGGTTCCCAGCCGGCTCCTCTGCCTACTGACTTCACTCCCCCCGCTGTGCAGGGGCATCCGCGGGAAGGTAACTCCCCAGGCTCCTGCTCAGACACTGAGAAGGGGGATTATGAGGTGTCGCTCATCCTGAAGCCCGCCTATGGATCTGAGACACCTAGCAGAGAAGATCAGTCCTTTTTTCCGCAGGAGGCTCCATCTTTAGACAGGTCTAAAGATGATAAAACAGCACAAGAAATCCAAGGTGGGTAAAAAAACAAAAAAAAAGGGCGGGGGAGAGGGGTAGAGGGGAGGGGAAAAAAAACCTTGATTGCAAAAGAAGGCAACAATGTCAGTGGTCGGAAAGGGTAGGGACAGCTGAAGGTTTGCAGTCAAAACAAGGTGATTGCAGCCAGGCTGCCAAGGACTGGAGTATTTTCCCCTCCCCCGCCCCCACTAACACAATAGCCCCCGTTAGTTAAAAACTAATCTACAGCAGGATAGATCTCAGGCCGGGCTCAAATCCCAGCCCTCCACCTAAACGGGCTCTACAGGAAGGACTAAGAGAACAAAAAGAAAAGAGTCGGTGCTAAGAGAGAAGGTCTTGGTGGTAACAAGTGGTGGGATTTTCCCCGCGTGCTTGTTTGGCCCGGCTACTCTCTTAGCACTGAGCACGCGTGTGCACACTCGCAGGCAGGTAAGTCAGCTGTGGACACGAGGCGCCGGGGCAGCGGCTGTGGGCGATCGGGGCTCTTCGGGGTGAGGAGGGGCTGGGGGCTGGGGGCTGGGAAATGCTCCGAGTGCCATTTCCAAAGGTTTCCCCCGTCTCCTCAGCCGCAGACACCTGTATAGAAACCCCCCTGCCTGCCCAGCCATGGGAAGTGGTACTCAGACCTTTACTTTAAAGGGGAAAAAAGAGCTCCTTTCATACCAATCCTCTAAAATATTCACCTAAAACCGCCCCTTTGCTTCTTCCCCAATATTGAAGACAACGATCTCGGGGGCGGGGGAACCCACAGCCTCCTAGGAGTTATTTTTTCCCCTTCTACTGATCTGTTCGGAGGTTCCCGTCTGTAATAATAATGAGGAGGAAACCATACAGCCGGCGCCTGCCACCCCGGAACCCGAACTCAAATTAAATGACCTCCTCCCAACTATTTAAACCCCAAAGCGGACCTTAATTGGGGTTCAGGCGTGGGGGAGGGGACTCCTCAAATTCCATCGGGGTCTTCACAATATAAAAGGACCAACTCCAGAAACTGCCCGCCTGCATCTTGCGTGGACGATCTAGTCCTTTAACCAAGAAATAAGAAGAGGAATTACCTTTTCACTTCCACGAAGCGATCCTCGGTTCTTTGCTGCCTGGGTCTTTTTATTTTAAATCGCAGTATTTGTGTGGGCAATCAGATTCGTGCCCTTTTACCTGAAACAAAAAAAAGGCTGTCTCGTAGACTTGAAACTGTAAGGTCATTTCGACAGGACTGCCAAGTCCACTTACTTGTGGCGACAGCTAAGCCGTTGTGTCGCCGTGAGTTCAGACGAGTGTCTTCACAGAGATCAGAGAGGGAAAAAAAACATGCATTTGTTTCAGAGTGACTGTATCTTTATATTTCATTTCCTGCCCCTTTTCTACTTTCATACGTCTCTGGTCATTATGTGGGAAAGGCCTCTTGGACTAGCCAGTGTAACAGGATTAAATAGTTGAACGTATCAGTTCTTTACTGAATTCCCCCGCCCCTCTGAAATGACGGAAAGGTGGTCACTTATTGAGTACCTGATTTTAAAGAGCGTAGGTTTGTATATTTCAGATACTTCCTTCCAAGGAGCACTTATCTTCTTTGATCTTAACGGATTTACAAAAATTAAAACCTGAGGGCAAATCCTCCTGAAAGGCAGCAGATGAAAGAAAGGAAATCAAACTCTGAAAACAGTGAAGGCTAGAGCTGTACAAGCTTTTTTTCTCTGGTAGGCTAAAATAATTCCCCCCCCCCCC